TTTTTATTAAGCTTGGATTTCTTAATAACTTGCTGAAATTTGGTATTCAAAAGCAACCTATTAAATAGTTCAGTATTTTGTTTTCTTGGATTTTATATAATAAGAGGTTGTAAAAAATTTTCCAAAAAAATGAAGAAATTATTTTTTTCTGATCTATATTATCCACTACTATTATTTCTTTGATGAGTTCTATATCTATAATAACCTTAATTTTCCTTTGATTGAAGGGATTCAGAATAAACTTAATGATCTTTTTTGATATCTTAATTCTTTGAAATGCTCATTTTAGCATTTTCAAGCTAACTGTATTGTATGCTTTAATAATGTCTTGTAATAGAATCCATAATTTTTTTTTCTTTTTATATGCTTTACAAATATTGTTAAACAGTTAAATTAATTCAGAAGTACTTTTCCTAAAAGACCTATAAAGTTGAAACCTTTAAGTATATTATATTTTTTGTATATCAGTATTAGACATTTGTTAAGGATCTTGGTAAAACACTTGTATATTGTTTCAAGTAGGATTATTGGTTTAATATTGTTAAGTTTTTCTTACTATTCTTTTTCTTTGATGATTGAATATAGAAAACTGTTCTTTTAAGATATTAATATATATTCTGTTAAGAAATAAATTGAAGAAGTTACATAGGACTTTTCTAATCTAAGGTCTTAGTTTCTTGAGTATTTAATATTTGATTTTGAAAAAACTTGCTACTTTGTTTTTGGAAGGATCTTGAAAAACTTTTTTCAGCTTTTTTGATTGGATTTCTTCTTTCAACTTATTATATTAGTTGTCTTGTATTTTGTTTTTGGATTCATATTACCTTTTTTACTAATTATTTAGCATATTATAGTTGCTGTTATACTTTTGAAATGTTTCTTAATAATATTGTTCTGTTTAATTTAAGATTTCTTTTTTATTTATTATAAGGTATTCTCATTCTTCTTTATTTACTATCTTGATTCTATTAGATGTTATGCTTTTAAAATGCTTTTTGATAATATTATTCTGTTTGACTTAAAATTTCTTTGTAAAGTATTCTTATTCTTCTTTGTTTATTATCTTGATTCTATCAATTGTTATTCTTTCTCTAATATTGTTTATTAATATTTATACAATTTTTCTTTAATTGTTCTTGAGATTTTGATATCTGGTTTCAATTACCTTAAAAATTTTTGATTAATTTTCTTTTTTTTTTCTATTAAGCATATCTTTTATAATATTGATTTTAAATTATATATAAATTTTTTAATTTGAAATAAGACTATATTTTGATTCTTTATGCTTTATGATAGTTTATTTATTGGTAATCAGAAATTAGTTGAAAGAATCTTAACAACTTTTAGCATGAGATCTTTAAGTTGTTATAATAGTACAAAAGATTCTATTGCTATAAAATTTTCTTGGATCTTCTTCTATAATTTGTAAAGCTATCTATATAGTTTGATTAAAACTTCTTTTTTACTATTGTAAATTTTATTCTTTTGCTTTTAAGTTCCTTTAGTGATTTTTCTTTTTATTATAAAGATTATTGAATATTAATGAGATTATTGTTTTTTCAAATTTTTTTTACAGATTTTAAATTCCATTAGTTTGGTTATTTGAGTTTAATGTTTTGTTATATAAGCTTGTTATTTTCTTTTAAAATTTTTTGTTTTGTATTTTGTTTTTAATCTTGCTTCTATATCTGATTCATTGTTTTTTTGTTGTTTTAGTCAAGTTTATTAGTTTTTTCTGATATTTTTTGATTATTTTTTGTTACTTTGAAACCATATAAACAAGAAACTCTTTAATTATTTGAAATTCTAGAAGAGTATAATCACTGTTTGGAATATTTTTAAAGTTCTTGTTTTTAAAACTGATCAAGTTGTTAGTTATAGCTAGTAAGCTTCAAATATAGTCTATTTTGCTTGAATTTTTGTTGTTTGATCATGTATGTAAGTCTTTTTGATTATTTCAGAGTTGTTAAAGATTTATATGATTTTAGTTAATAAGATAACTAAATATTAATGTTTCTGGTTCTTCTACTAAGGTAAAGATTTTATTGAAGTTTATATTTATTCAGTTATATTTGAAATTGAAAGTGCCATTAAAATCATTCATTAGAATAATTTAATATTGTTAACAGATCTTGCTTTGAGCAAGTATTTGAATATTTTTTAAATAATTAGGCTTTTTTATTTGTTACAAAAAAAATATATTTGTGCTACACATGTGGTATAAATTATTTGCTATTGATTCAATTCCCAAAATTCTTAAAAATAATTGCATCATAATTCAATTATACAGTATGTTTTAATAATGATTCAAATAATTGCATCAAATATATCAAGGATCTATAAATTTTAGTAATATATATAATTTGTGCTATTTATATTTTACACTTTTTGCACCAAAGATTAATAACTATTAAGTAATCTTTTAATTTATTTATACCAACAATATTTGTTTTAAAGATTTTGCAAATTAGTGAGAGAATATCTGTTTCTATAGAATTTAATAAATATAAGCTTAAAAAGCATTTGTATTTGTTATTATTGTTTTGAAATACAAACCATTGATTGGTTTGGATAAGTTTGATTTCACTAAACTCTAGTATATTTATTTGACTTTTTCAAATTTCTTGAATTAAGATTTTTTGATCTGTTGCATATGTGATTTTCTATTTGTATTAAGTTGTTATTGAAATTATATAAAGATTTTTTTGATTTGGTGTTATCAAGGTTTGTTTTTGGATTATTTAGAAAAGTTCTTTTTGTTTATAAAGAAATGTGAAGATATTAATATTTAGTTATTGATTATATAACTCTAAGAGATATTCTAAGTTAAAAGTATCTAAAGTATAAGTTAATATAGGACTTGTTATTGAAGATTTTACTTGTAAATTTTTTAATAATTCATTTTTTTCAATATTGATTTTGTGTTGAACTGATGTAACATTTTAGAAGAAATAGTAGAGTTTCCTATTGTTTTTGTTTCTTTTGTTTTTTAACCTTGTCAATCTGGCATTGATAGATTCCAATATCATATGAATTATATTTCAAAGAGTTTGCTCTTCAGGCATATTGTACCTGACCGTTGTATATATTCTGAATATTGAATATGTTCTTTAATTATTTGTACTTCCAGGTCTTCTACTTCTATTATTATAAGGTGATTGTTAATAATTTTTTATTTATTGGGATATTCCAATACTTTTTTGGCTTGATTTTTCAGGATGTGTATGCTGATTAAAATTTTTAATTTATTTGCTTTTCTAAGAGTTGGACATTAATTAAGAATATTATATGCTAAAAATCTGATCTTTGATATTTTGTTACTTTTTCAAGAATTTATTCTATTCAATAGATTTTTTGTTTTTTCATTGGAATTTGTTTGGACAGCATTTATAATTCTTTGAAGTTTAGTTATATCTGGTTTGAAATCTGTTTTTAAAATTTTAAAATTTATTTGAATTAATTTTAAAAGTTAAAATATTATAATTATAACTGGTTATAAAATGCTATACTGAAGCATTTAGAAAATAAATTGATTTTAAAAAATATAATACAAATATTATTTTATATAATTTAATAATAGTTTAAACCATTTAAAAACAATCAAAATAGAAAAGAAACTTAAACGTTTCTAATTAACAAATATTTAAAAAGCTTAAGACCCAAGAAAATTCATTCCTATCAATTTTTTTAATATTTACCTTATAATAAATATTATTTTCAAATCTTAGATACAAAACAATATCTATTTATAATATTAATAAAAGAATATATAAATCCTTTATAAAAACAAATTATTATTAATTAATGAGCACACATATTGGTTTTTAATATCCAGACAGTCTATAGAACAGCATCAAAAAATTTAAACATCTTCACGTACCGAATTCTTAAAACTTTGCGCAGTATCGTAACAGCAATAACAGAAAAAATTAAACAATAAATATCCTGTGTATGAGGCGGTATGAAATGAATCGTGATGTTAAGCGTAAATCGTTATCGTATATTTTTTTTACCTCGTTGCTAATACTTTCGTAATTATACTATAGATTCGAAATTTCTTAATTCCAGAGAAGTTCTCTTTTGAGAAATAATTTTTTGTGTTTGGGAGAGATATAGATAGACAAAAATTCTGTAAATATGAGTGGGTTAACTTATTTAGAAAATCTAGTGTATTAAGAGTGTGAGAATGAGAATTACGTAATTAGCAATAGAAGTAGAAATAAGTTAGTTATAGATATTTTTTGTAAATGTGAGAGAGCAAAGAAATAATATGATGCTGGGACTTAGGATCCGCGTACTCCCTCCCTCTTTGATACCATCATATATTTCGTTCGCTACCTACTGAAAAATTAATAAAATTTCAATCGAAAATTTTTTTCTTAAAGTGCTTATGTTAATTGTATACCCGAAGTTTTTTGTCCAATTGTCTTTTTTCGAAATTTAAATCATCACTTTTACACTTATATAGTGTAATCACGAGTTGCTCTATTAGTAGTACGGTAGTTATTTATTATAACTATTGCGCTACTATACCGATGTCGAGATTCATTCTTTCTAGACTATACATACAATGGTTGAACATTTGCTCAGTATATGATCTACTATTGCCGTTATGCTGTTTGGGAGCCCTATTAATTATTAAACATAAAAAACACTTATGATTTTGCTTTAACGACCCAAGAATTACAAGAAAGACAATTATTAAACTTAATGAAATATTTATTCTTATTTTCGGCTTTAAATCTTTTTTTCAAGTCGAGCCTCTTTTAAGCCATCGTATAAAACTCTTCATTGAAGTTAACAAGTTAAGCAATCATAGAAAGCAGCTGATTGGATCATTTGATTATTTATCATTGCCACATCGTCACATGGACAGCATTACCTAGACGCGTTTGACGCGTTTGATCAAAGGAGCTTTTTTTTACTGTGCGATTTTTGCTTGTTGTTGTATTATCCACTTTTTTTCTGCGAATTTATCCCATTTCCTTGCAAGAAACGGTATGGTGAATGCTTATTATAATCGATCATTTGAACAAATTGGATCCCCCTTTGTTTTTTGATCATTTTAAGTTTACGTACGCGGAGAGAGAATCTGCTCAACGGCATCTGGCCACCTCTCTCGGTTACTTACAGAATTTTGCAAAGGATCCGAGAGTAAATATCCTAGCACGGGACAAAGCAAATGAGCTAAAGGTTTTTGTCTTATCATTGATTATGTATATCTAATAAAGCTGTACTTAACACATTGTATTTCGTATGTTGTACTGTAGAAATGGAGGGAAGGTCGTTGTGCTAATGAATACTGGCATAAAATTGAGATAGAAGAAGTCAAACAAAAGACTCATGCTGCGGCAAAAATATCAGAGGTAAAAAATAAGAAGTGTTTGGATTAGTATTTAGAAATCCTTGCTGAGGATTGTCTAATTGTTATCTTTTATTACCGCTTGTAAAGTTGCAAATCGAGGCCACATTACATAAAGATACTGTCTACCATTCTAGTGCAGTATCAAATCTGACTAAAAACAAAATTACCGCATTGAGTAAACGATCAAACTCCGATGTTGATTCTGAAGATTTAGAAAACAACCCCTTCATTGTAATAGAGGAGCAGAGTGCCAAACTTATTGATTCTCTCGCAACAACACCATCACCATACACCAGTTCTGTAGAATATTTAGAACACAACCCCTTCTTTGTAATAGAGGAGCGCCCCGAATCTCCCATAACACCATTATCGAACAGGAACGTTCTCAAACATCCTCAGCCCTCACGAGAGGATACCAATGTGGATTTGATTTTGGAAAAGCCACAGACTACTGAACATCAAATCCACCCGCCCGAATATTCCGAAAACCCATCAGAAAAGACTATGCATGATGGATGCTCCAAAACTCCAAAAAAATATGAAATCGACATCAAGGTATCATTCTTCAGTCTAGTTATGTACTCTTGTTCTCTTGTTAACGGATTATCTGATTAATTTTGTTTATAATGATTTAAAAAGGATGACGATAATGTTGGAAACACATCAAAAAGAAAAATAAATGATGATGATAATGATGATGAATTGCTTGAAAATACCATATTTTTATTTAATGAATCGAATGAAGAATCATTAATCGAAAAGGTTGATGAGGATTCACTATTGGATGAAACTCGATTGCCATTAGGAAATATTAACAGTAGAACACCGGAGGTAGATATTGGTATAACTGTTTTATATTTGTGTACTTGATAAATTTATTATTTTATTATCAATAGGAATTTCTTGATACAAATTTAATCGAATCATTTAATAAATGGGTAATTATTTTCGAAGGTAAACCGGAAATTTTCTGATGTGATCCTAAAATTTATATTATATATGTATTGTTTAAAAGTTGGATCCAAAAAAATCATATCTAGTATTTTTGTCACCTTCAAAAATAATTACCCAAATATCAAAAAAAAAATACCGAAAACTCGCAAGATCCTAACGTAAGTTTAGAATCATCACTTTAACACGATCACTTCTCGCTTTTAATATACCGTACGTTTTATTAATTTTAGCCCTGCATATTGGGGAATATTGGATTTAACGAAAGAAAGTTTAAACAACTCTGGAATAAAAAACGAGGAGATTGAAAAATTATCACAGAATTTCTCCAATAAAATCGGATGGACTGACGATGTCCTTGCCTCCAATGAAGTCCAAAAATATTTTGATAACAATTGCGGGAATGTTAATAAAAATGAGATGATTAAAGACCTAGATACTAATATTCAGTATATGTATGTAAATTAAATATGTCTGTAAATCAATTTTTTATTAAATAAATGTTTTATTATTCAGGAAAAGCAAGATGTCGAATCTCCAAAGGGTGTGTACAGAGGAGGAACTGAAGATGTGGATAACAGTTCCGTTATTTTTCGGCATTTTTACGTCGGAAAATATCAAAAACACTTGGTAATAACTTAATATTTTCTTTAAGTGATAATATAATGATTTCCAATTTATTTTTATGTACGATTTCTTCAAATATTAGGGGTGAAATCCAAGCGATTTCAACAAACAAAGCACGAAACGAAAATACAAATCTTTTTTCAAGAGCAAAGGTTGGACATAAAGTCGATATGAAGGGTACATTGATTAAAACGCCAAATAAATTCGAAGTAATTTACGGAGAAGTTTCTGGGGGACTTACTTCTTTTGGAATACCTGCATCCTGTCCAAAAAAACAGTATGTTGACAAGGTGAAGTTAATGAACATGTTGCAAGATAGTCTCAATCAGTTCTTCAAAGATAATCGTCATGTAAAGGATAAACAACGTAAAGAATTAACTGTGTATGGATGGCTACAAATCGGTAAGCGTAAATAGATGAGTTTCATGCTTAAAGATTATATTAATATTTGATTGTTAGGAATCGAGCTAAAAATATACACAATGGACTGGGTTGGCTACGGAATTTATAGATTTGGTAAATTAGACAAATGCTTGTTACCAGTCGATGAAGATGACTCAAAAATATTGGAAGATGCTTACTGTATTTTAAAATTACTGGAGGTAATTATTATATTGCTTTTTTACTATTACTTGGTGGTTATACAGTGTGTTAAGAAAAAAACCGGAAAATTATGCACATGACGAAAACTAGTGTAACTTGCCCAATTTAAATCAGATTTTCATCATTTTTTTTTTATAACGTGAAGCCTAGGGGTAATTTAATGAATTCTCATGTTCGCAGAACATTCTTTCTTTTTTTTTAGAGAAAGTCCTACAAAATGTCACCCTCTGTAAAAAAAGATCAGTGCAAAATTCTTTTGTATTTGTGGAATGAGAGTATATGTAATGCAAAAGAGCTACATATTAGAACAAACATCACACTCTACTATTTATGAAAATATTAAGAAACTCAAAGAAACTGGGACAACAGAGCACTGCAAAGGCAATGGTTGATCAAAAAAAATTATCAAAAGTGTTAGCCAAGCTATTGATCAATATATTTGTCATGATCCTCTTACATCAACAAAAACTCTAACAATAAAATTGATTGAAAAGGATATTAAGGTATCTCATGTTACTGTTTTCAATCATTTGACTAGCTTAGAATACTTAAATAGTCTTTTCTATCAAACTCCTATGCTCACTGCCACTCACAAAGAAGCATGTATACAGTGAGCCCAAAAACATCTTTATAACAGATGGAATCAAACATTTTTTTCAAATAAGATGGCATTTCAGTTCTTTCATAATACAATAAGAGTTTGATATAAAGGAGCATGGCCTCTTCGTCACATTTCAAAATATTGTACAAAAATTATGGCATGGAGTAAAGTTTCTTTGTAAAAGAGTTCCCAAGATTATGGACTGGCTATCCAACAATTCTGATCTAAACCCAATTGAAAATATGTGAGCCATTATTAAAAGAAATATAAAAAAGTGTATTTAAAAAATTATTGATAAATTGGAGCAGTATATGATTAAGAAGTGAAATGAGATTCCTATATCAACTTTAAAAAATTTAACAATGTCAATGAAACAAAGGTATGAACTAATTAAGGATTCTAATGATTCTCTTTGATTCTGTATTCGATTCTCAAGTTTATATTAAATTTAATAGGTAAGATATACCTTACCATCATTTTTAATAATGTTTTGAACCTTATGTAATTCTTTGCGAGTCTGTTAGATTGCAATTTTCAAAACTATAAAACTAATGTTAAAAGCAAATAGTGAACATATTGACTATTGATTTTTTTTATTAAAAGTTTAATAAAAAATTACAAATAATTTAATTTTTATATAATTTGATACAACTAATAATAACTTATTACATGTTTTGCAATTCTGATTTTTTTTTTTAATATACTGTATATTAATTATAGAATTAATATAGTCAAAGTTACTTGAATCAGAAAAAATAATACACGATAACATAAAAACAAAAGAAAATACATCAAAACAGAAAACAGTTCTCATTTAAACAAGAACCAAATTCTAAAATAGTTCTAGATTATAAACATAAAATAAAATAAATATTGTACTAGCAATAAAAATTGACAATTTTTTCTTTTATAAAAAATTATAATATAAAAAAATTTATTTTTTTTTGTAGTCTTATTAATATCGATATGTTTTTATAAATATTGTTTTACTAAATAAAATATATTCTATAACTAATTGAAATTAACTTATTTGATATAATATTACTTTGGCTAAAAAATAAATAATTTGACAAAACAATTAAATTTATATAAATAATATAAATAAATTATGTATATACTTATTATAAAATTAGTTAATAATAGTAAATTAATATATAATATAGTGCAAAAATTTTTAAAATATTATTTATATAATATAAATATATATAACTTTTTCAAAACAAAAGCAATTTACAGTATATAAAATTTTAAATATATAAATAATATATTTCAAACAATATACTGTATATAGGTACTTAAAATTATTTAATTTTATTTTTGTTATAAACTTATTCTTACAATATTACCTTCTAAAAAAAATACTTAATAACAAACTATATTACATTTATAAAAAAATAAAATTACTTCTACATATGAAATATATTCTAAAACTGATATAAATATATTAACTATCTATTACAATCTCAAAAAATTGAATTCAAAAGACAATAATTCAAGAAAATCTGATAGTAGTCATTTTAAAAAGATTATAATACATGAATCAAAAACAATTGATCAATATTTATATTATAATTCAAAACTTTTCTTAAGAACTTTAACAATTTTAAGATATTTGGTCAATATGAGTTACAAAAATAATTTATTTTGAAAAACACCTATACTTATTACTACTTATAAAAAAACTCATTATTTGGGCAAAAAAACATCTTGATAATAACTGGAAAAAATATTATTTTTTGATGAAACAGTATTTCAACTATTTAAAAATACAATTACTCAATAGTATAAAGGTATAAGGCCAATTAAAAAAATGCCTAAAGATTGTATTAAAATCTTTACATAAAGAGGATTTTGTACAAAAAGAAAAACTTCTCTTTTTTATTTTAAAGAAATTATAGATACAAAATTTTAGATCAATATTTTGTAAAATCATAAACAAGAAATTAATAAACTACTTGAAAACAATTGATATTTTTAACAAGATAATGATTCCAAGTATACAAGTAAAATTATTAAAGTATTTTTAAAGGAAAATTTTTCTGAAATTATTAATTAGTCTTTTAATTATACATGTTATTAAAATTTGTAGATCCTTGATATAATTGATGTAATTATTTGATGCAATTATTTGAGTCACTGTTAAAATATATAAATAATTGAGTCATGACACAATTATTTTTAAAAATTTTAAGAATTAAGTCAATAGTAAATAATTTATATCACATGTATACTTCTAATAGTTTGGATTTAAATCCTATTGAAAACCTTTAAGCTATTATTAAAAGAAATATAGAATATGATTACCAAAAAATATTTTAAAATTAGAACAATTTATAATAGAAGAATAAAATAAAATTTCAAATAAGATTTTAAATAATTTATAAATTCAATAAAAAAGATATATGAATCAATAATTGAAAATAATGGTAAAAGAATTAATTATTAATTATATATTCATAAAATCTTTAGATTTTTAGTTTTATTTTAATATGTTTTTTATTAATTTATATATAATAGTTTTTAAATAATAAATAAATAAAAATTTCAAAATTTTTTGCACCATACTGTATATAATTAAAGAATCAAATTTTATATATACTGGATCTAAAAATCAATTTGTTATTATAATATAATTTGTGAGTCTTGTTCATATTGAAGATCTAATTCTTAAGATAATATTATTATCTTATATTAATTTTTTAAAGAAAATAAATTGATTATGATTTTTTAATATAAATAAAAGTTGAAAATTAAAACAAGAAAATAATTTTATATTGAATTTTTTTAAATATGTGATAATAATAACAAGATCAAATTTATACAAAAATATTTGTCCAAATTTATATTTTTGATTATATATTTTAAGAAAAATCAAGATTCAGTTATATAAAACCTAATATATATAATCTTTTTTACTTGTTAAGTTTTTTTTTTACAAATATTTATTTCTTATCTTAATTTAGCAAACTTTAGTATATTGGATGATAATTATAAAAGGATTCATTTGACCAATTAAAAATTTTTTCAATTTTTAATTGAAATAATATTATTATAGTTTTTTTTTAATTAGATATTCTAATATTAGAGAAAAAAATTTTAAAAAGAAACCTATACTTTTTAAAAAAATTTCTTTTAATTGGGTATTAGATAGATATATCTAATTAAAATAATACAACAAATAAAGAAAAAGAAATAATAAAAGAAAAAATAATATTGTATTAAAATATATAATATTCAAATATATATAGTTTTGCAAATAAAAATAATAATTAATCAAGTCATTTTTTCCTCTATTTTAGACTATTTTCTTATACAAGTTATATATAAAGTAAATAAAAAAAAGAAAGAAAAAGAAAATAAAAGAAAATTTTTATAAAAGTAAGTTTTCTAATAAAATAAAGATAAGTAGAAAAAAGTTTTTTGTTTTTTGTTCAATTATTTTTTATTTATACTATATATTATATAATATATATATTATATATAAGAATTCTAAGTTTATATTAAATTTAATATGTGAGTTATAACCCACTATTATTTTTAATAGTATTTCAAACCTCATACAAGTCTATATAAGTCTGTTCAATTTCAATTTTCAGAATTAAAATTATATATATTGTTAAAATTGATAAATTTTCAAATATAATCAATATAATTATTAACAAAACATATAAAATAATTAAATTAAAATATAATTATATTTGATAATTTAGAAATTGAATTCATTTCTTTTTTGGGGGGGGGGGTTTCCCCCGTAGGTAAACATCATTTCTTTATTTGATATTGTATATAATATAGTATACATCATGAAAGAAACAACATCTCTTTCA